AGTGTGTGCACGTGTGAGAGTGAAAGGGTCACTTCAGTTTCAATCAGTTCAGGAAGCGACTCACCGTTAACGCTTTACGAGATCTTTCCTGATTTCGGTGGAATTGAAATGCATGCTGAAGAACACTTTCTAATACAGATGCCTTTCCATTTAAACCATTTTGGTAAATTTGTCACAATTCTAGCTTAACTCAGAGGAAGACAACAGAATGTTTTTTACAGATTGTTTTCTATAAAAAGAAAGATATTTACTGATAGTGTTTCTTGAAAGCTGTCTAAAAAGAATTTTTAAAAAGACACAAATGAATAATTGTAAACAATCACCCTTCATAAAAAGACAAACTGTTTTGTATTTTATTTCATTATTATTTTGTGTGTAAAAAGTTTTCTATTGTTCTACTGAGCTTCTGGGAATGTACCACGGCTAAAGACGTGACCGGGTTCAAGGCTTTAGCCCCCCCCCCCCCGGCTCAGGCTGCTGGAGGGGAGCTGTTCTGTGTCTCGACTGAATGCATTATAGATGTCAAACCAAAAATATATTTGAGAAAACCTATTTGTTCTGTGTGCTACTTAAAATACCATCCAGATGTGCATAAAATGTTATTCACAGGAGGCCAAATACGACGGTGGTTTTGTTTGTAGTCTCTATAAACTGTCGACAGAGTTCAGACCCATTGAGCTTTCTAAGAAAAACAATAAGGTAAAGTACCTTTTATTGTTTTTCTGTTTTGAGAAGCCACTTTTACTAACAGTTTGACAATGAAAATGATTTGTCCTCAGCTCATAAAATGTATATATTTTATATGAACTTCACCTCCTGTCAAAGAAGTTTAAATTAGAAGAGGTTCATTTTGATTGTTTTATATTCCTTTCTAAGAAGTCACCAGGTGAGTTGTCGGCGAGCTGGGACATCCATGTTTACTGAGTATTCTGCAAAAAGGAAGGAGACGGTTACTCACTAAAACACACGGCAGGCATTTTTGTCAGCAGTCGTGGCCACACAACATTTCAACAGTGATAGCTGATTTCTTGGCAGCCAAGTTTATTTTGTGCGTGTGTTTGGCCTATTAAGCAGAAAAGACGCCTTTTAAATTTCATCTGTAACACACTCAGTGTTTGATGCCTATATCCTAATGGCTGCTAATATTTATGTTAATAATTTCTGTCATGATTAAACAACTGTTAAAACAACCAGGTATAAAATCCTTCCAGATAATTTCAAAACCAACTGACAGATGTTGTATTATCAAGTAAATTTTATTTATACAGCCCAAAATTGCAGTGCCTCAAAGTTGCCTCAAAGGGCTTTAAAGTCCGTACAGCATACGACACCCTCCATCCTTAAGGATCCCCCCCCCCCCCCCCCCCCAAAAAAAAATGAGTGATTTGTGTGATCGATGTTGCTTTTAAATCATTTTGAAATCTAAAGTAAATAAAAATAAAGTACATTCAAAAGTATCTCCTTCCAGCCACCATGCTTCCAGTGGAGCTGTGGCTGGCGGACCACCCCGCTGACCACATTGACTTTGTGGTCAAAGGGCTTGTTCACGCTGGTGTGAAGTCTCTGACACGAGGGAAGTCATTAGTCTTCATTAGCAACTTCCAGGAGTTTCTTATGAAGTGCTGTGAAGTTGTCATTTGCCCCCTTTACCAGGCAAGCTAGATTTGAGGTTTGTTTTCATATGTGATGGACCAAATGTGAGCTCGCCCGACCCCTAGTTGTTGCATCTGAGATCACGTTTACTCTGCAGTTAGGACAGGGACGCCAGACAGGATATTGTAATGGATATTTTTTTATCCCTCCTGATAGAATCTGACTCATTAGTTATGTTATCTTGTTTAGGAAAAATACCGTCTATGCTTGGGTGCCACTTTACGCAGACCTTTTTAGATGAAAGTTTTCTGCTGTGCCATAAACTGGACATGATGTTATGAATCCTCTCTAATCACATACAGCATCTCAAAGCAGATAAAGTCTAGTTATAATTGACCTGTTGTCAGGTGAAGGCATTTCTCCTGCCATGTGAGATTGTTCAGTCTCCGGTGACATCATGTTGTTTCCAGCCGTGGGGCTGCTAACACAAACCCCTCAAAGTGGCCAATTAAGCATCAAAAGGGCATGCTGCATGGCTAATGTGAGCGAAAGGTGTGAGATTTCTCGTCAGTCCACTCCAGGGGCTCTTTATTGGGCTGCAAGAGAGCCGTCTGATCCCCGGGCCTTGGCTGTATATTGGCAGCTGTTAACTGTTGAGCACAAGGGGATCTGTGCAGTTAAAGCAAATGGCCAAAGACTGACACCTGGGAGGTGGAACATCCCTGCCAAAGGTGATCCAGGAGGGAGGGAGGAGAGACTGGAATCAAGCATGAGATATGGTCATGTAATTTGAGCGGGAGGTATGAAGATATCTATGATTTGATTCCTCCTGTCGTCCCTCATTATTTTCTCTTGTAGCTACACTCATACAGTGTCTTTAGGACCTTTAACCAAATGTTTTTGGTAAGCAGTCCCTATCAGTCTTCTCCAGAAGACCTCCCTGATGTGTCAGCCAGTCTAAATCACCCCAGACTGGCTGTTACATAAGGCAGAGCTCCATGCCATGTCTCTCTGTCCCTGACTTTTGTCCCCAGGCCATGTTCTGGGGCCTTTACCAGTCACATCTGTCACCTCCAGATCCAGTGCGTAATGGGATTGACACTGCTGCTGCTGAAATGTACACCTCCGCTCTAATGCCGACACACTCTGCTGCTAGAGTTGAAGTGATCTGCAGACAATTTCTTATCAAAATCCCTTTATTTCGCACAGCTTCTTGCTCCTAAACACTCAAAGAGCTGTGTGACCTATCTGCCCTGTGAAACAGCTTAAGGGGATCCCCATGCAGGCCTCAGAGGAGCTGGCTAAGTGCTAAGTGAGGAGAGCCACACTGTACCTGTGATTAATAACTCCTCGACAACAGTTGGTTTCACATGAGGAGGATGAAAAGTCATCGCACTTCCTCAAGGCCAATGTTGTGCCACCAGGTTCCACAGAGGGTGGAGTGCAGGGAGAGTCCTGCATCGGGGCAATAAACACGAGTCAATGATCGCGCAGAGATCTCTGCATCTTTAAGTGCACCATTACAAGCTGAATGTCACCATTTTTATATTCTGCATCGACCACAAACAGGAGCCTTAAAGAGGCTAGTCAATATTTTCACAGGGAGGACTTTTTAGCAGGAAACATCTCGTTTTGCACACTTAACTGCTGATTCTACTGAGTGTTGTGCTACCATCAAAATTGTGGGGTCATTTATATGCCGCACACATTGCTTTTAAAAGTCTTGGTCATACATTGCATATGGTTTTGGTATCTAACCTGTTATCCAAACAGTTACAGTTGCAATTCCTTTGTGCATGGGTGTCGGAGAGCTGAGCTCACAGGAGGCATTGTATGCAGCATGCAGACATGAGAATACAATGAGAAATGGAAGTGATGTGTCTGTGCTAGAAAAGAGGTTGAATGACATGTGAAAGTCACCTCAATTCAAATTTTCATGTCAGTGGAAGCAAGAGTATTTATCTACCTAATTTTGTTCCTCTATGCAAATGCATGCAGTGTTTAGCATTTGTTTTGTCTGTGGTACGGGGTATGATACAGGCGGAGACAGGCCTATGAATGACACCCGTGGATTTTGCCTGGATGTGGATGGCGGGGGGGACAGCCGAGTTGTTGTGGCAGGTCTTTATTGTCAGACCCCTCCTGTCCCATTCAAGGCTGACTTGGGCTTGTGGTGCTAACTGGCTGTTAATTGCCTGCCTATACACAGGGCTTTCTCCACATGCAGAAACCAGCTCCTTCAAGGGAAACTAGCCTAATGAGATTATCTATCAGAGCATGGGCCTGTCTAGACACCCCAATACACAACCCCCCACCCCCCCACAACCACCACCACCACAGCCTGCAGTCCTGCAACCTTCACAGGATGCCCCCAGGTGAAAGTTACCTGCAGAAAGAGAGAGTGCATGTTGTCATTACACCATTATGGGTTTACACAGAGTTTCCCACCCACTGTGTAATTTATCTGATGGAGAAAGCTGGAGAATGTAAGAGAGTGTAAAGCTGTTCATGCATTTGATGCCAGAAAATGTCTATTGTCTTTTGTTTTTATCCAATTTCAGATCAATATAAAGGACATGCAATAATTAGGTTCTGCTTTGAGAAAACTCTTCTTTAAAATAGAAGCATTTTAAAACACTGACTCCCCCAGTGCACACACAACACACAGGAATATTTAAAGGCACCCAGCATTCAGTTATGTTAAATGTCTTAAATTGGGTATTTACCACATTACACAAACATACTAAATGCCATTTTGGTGTGTGGTGATGTGTGTGAATGATATTTACACAGATTCTGGTGCCGCTGAGAATCCTGATCTGCAGCAGGGAAGTCTGTCCATATTTGTTTTAAAGTCTCTTAGCAGTTAATAAAGATACATTTCCTCCGTCCCTCTTCCTGTGGGGACGGTATCAAGGCTCTGTTAAGTCTCTTTGATTTCCAGCGCCCTCCAATCACAGCGGGGCACTGACTCATCATTGTGCCACTTCAAAGCCTGGGAATGTCTCTCTTGACCCCACCCACTCCGTGGCTCCCCTTAAAAGTCATGGTCATCTCTTCCTGCAGGACTCAACAGCTTTGAAATATCTGCTTCAACAAGACTGACTAACCTTCTGACTGCCTGAGCTGCTGGATTTCTTTTTTATTTTTACACACAAGGCACCAGGAGGGAGAGCAGAGCTGAAGAAACACTTGGATATCACTGATACTGGACTGCTTATTGACCCTTAGTGCATGAACCTTTTCAAGCTGTGCTACTACTGAACCTGAAAAATGCAGTCCATCAGAGGTAAGTGTTGACTGACTTTCATTTGATTTATGCTGGGCTTTCCCAACCAATTTTAGTTTTGTTGTCTTTACCTGAAAACCCTTCTTGATTATGACTTGAAGCTTGGATGTGACAAATCTTATTTACTCCTAGACTTGAAGCCCAACTTCAGCGGCCCTCCTCCCTCCTCCATGGCTGCCGGCCCCGATGCCTATCTCCAGGGCAACATCAGGATGACTCTGGAGGACCCTGATCTCTGGAAGTCCTTCCATGGAATAGGAACAGAGATGATTATCACTAAACCTGGAAGGTAAGACGCCAGAAAAATTTTAATTTTTAATAAAAATGGTTTGCAAAGGAGTGTCCCCTGTAGCTGTGTTTGCTTGTTTGTCTCATGTGTTGCCTTCTGTGTTTTCCAGGAGGATGTTTCCACACTGTAAAGTAAATCTTTCCGGGCTCATTCCATGTGCCAAGTACATTTTACTGGTTGACATGGTCCCCGAAGATGGTTTCAGGTATAAGGTAAGACAGCGGTTATTTTTCCTTCACTTATGAATGAGCATCTTGATATCATTTTTAAGTATCCTTGACTTATCACAGCTATGGCTTTGGCTGTAGATATCCTTCAGTAGTTAAGCCCCCCACCCCCACAAACACCCTACATTGTACATCAAAGGGGTGCTATCTCTTCCTGTTTTTCTATCCCCTGCTGGGAGCCCACTGTACTACCCCCTATCCCTGTGGGTGGTACAGGCCGGCAGTCACTCTCCACTCTATCGTCCTCCTCTCACACTGTGAGGAAGGGAAGAAGCTGAGGCTCCTTCTGTAAATCACCTTTCACTATGACAGGCAGACTGACTGACGGACTATCTCTCTCCTTCCTACAGTGGAATAAAGAGAAATGGGAGGTGGCAGGAAAAGCGGAGCCCCAGCCTCCCTGCAGGACCTACCTCCACCCTGACTCTCCGGCCCCAGGGAGCCACTGGATGAAGCAATCCGTCTCCTTCCTCAAGCTCAAGCTCACCAACAATACGCTCGACCAGCACGGCCATGTAAGTAAGAGCACTCGAAACAGGGTGCTTAACAACAACTCTGTATTTCCAAATTATATCTGCACTAATTTCTCAAAGCATGTTGGACAAATTAAGTCAGTGGGGGACAAACTGGTAACGCTTAGCAGACTGGATGTTTTGGCAGTGACATAGTTGAGACTAAATTAAGCTGAAAGTGCTTAAAATCAGTAAAGTGCTCTGAATTAATCATTCTGTTTCTATCTGCAGATAATTTTGCACTCCATGCATCGCTACCACCCGCGCTTCCACATCGTCCAGGCAGATGACCTGTTCAGTGTCCGCTGGAGTGTTTTCCAGACCTTCACCTTCCCTGAGACTTCCTTCACAGCAGTCACAGCCTACCAGAACACCAAGGTCAGTGTCTATCACTCCAATCCAATGCAAACTGCCGGTAGGACATCACATGTGATTGAGATTTTTACTGATTTGATTTCCTCACTTACAGATCACAAAGCTGAAGATTGATCACAACCCATTTGCAAAAGGTTTCCGGGATGAAGGCACTAACAAAAAAAGGTGAGTATCACACTGGAAAAAAAAACAATCCAGTTGCTGGTTGCTTTATTTAAAAAATGGCGGCTCACCTTAGGATTTCCTTTGCTGCAGATTGTATTGAAAGTAATGTATATAGCATTGTTTTAATGAACCTGATGTTCCTTTGCAGGCGTGCAAGCAAGAACCCAGCCTGCCTCGAGAAACGGGCCAAGATGTCAGACGGCTTGAACAGGGACTCTGAGGAGGGCAGTCCATCAGGTACCGTTTTAAGAACCCCCTTCCTCCTGTTGATGTTTTTACATTCTTGTCCTGTAATCCTAAATTGATCCACTGATTTGTGTCTTCTCAGACTTCTGCCGGTCATCGTTTGAGGGCTATGACGGAGAGGAAGGAGACCTGCCCAAAGAGAAAGAGGGCGATGCCGTCAAAGAGGAGCGTTACTCCCCGTGGGCTGTTGAGAGGGATCCCAGTGTGAGGACTGACTCCCCTGCTGGGACAGACCCCAGGGACATGTACAACACAGAGCAGCTTGTTCCTGCTCCAGCTTCCTACCAGCCGTACAGGTGAATACTGGTACAGTAGTGCAACTAATAAGAGAATAATGTCATGATAAACAGAACGCTGAGCATCTTCTTTTTACTTTTTAGGTTCCACGAGTATGGAAAGTCCCCCTCTCCCACCTCCAGCATCGGCAGCAGCTACAGTGGATCAGGACGCAGCAGCTTTGAGTCCAGAGTCCCTGATGTCGCCACCGTCCCCGATCATGATTCTTCAAAGCCCCGTACACATGAGATTGGCCCTTCCCCTTGCGGCCCGCAGGACTACACCGGGGTCCTCAACATGACTATGGCCCAGGCAGGCAAGCCAGGGGTGATCGGCCACCACATCTACAGCCCATATGGCGCTGAGCAGCCCCTGGGCCAGTGGAGCAACCCCGGTCCCGCCCAGTACCCACCTCCTCACCACCTGACTGCTGACTACACCACGCAAGCTGTGCACCACGGCTATCACCATGGCAACGTGGCCGAGTGGAGCCAGTACCCGCTGTTCTCTTATTCCTGCTGGTGAAGGGACCTTCAGTGTTAACTGACTGAGAGTGACTTTACCAATGCTGCAGCTGATGCAGAGCTCACAGCTGCGAATGCATGCCCAGACCAGGCTGAGGGCCAGAGGCCTGAGACAAAAAAAACTGGAAAGATGACAAGAAGTATAAGGAGCCGCCTGCTGCTGCCTTCTGGACTGACAGGATTCAGACTCCAGTTACGCCGATTGAAACTAAAGTGTGCTGCTCCGTGCTGATTGGTTGTTTTATGGTTGCAATGTCTATTTATTTTGTATTTCATCTCATCTCCAAGTGTAAATATTATTTTTGTAAAAATAAAAAAAGAAAGAATAAGGGTGCAATGTATGTTTATCCTCAAACTGTGACGTGATCTGAAAATAAAAACCTAAAAAAAAACGTGATGTCTTGTTTATGTATATAGATTTAAATAGTTTATATATATATATATAGGTCTTATTATATATTAATCTTTCCAAAGGTAGATTTGTTTTAAAAAGACACCTAGTTTACATATAACTTTTGTCTTTTCCTTCGGCAGTAAAAAACTGCGTTTCAACATGAGTGGATGATGTAAATAATAACCCCTTACTAGTGCTTACATTCAAACTAAATGCGATACTAGTTATCATTACAACCCCTCCGATTTCTGTCCAGGCCTTTACGTCTTCCACTAGTTTTATGAGCCATGAACTTCTATAATTAGTTTTCATCCAGTCCATCTTCTGCGAACAGCAAGTGTGAATGAATGAGTGTATTGTAAATGTGTCTTTGTTTGTGGGTACACATCTGCATGCTTTGTATCCGGCCAGCTCTGATAGGCAGCACGTCCTTTGGTGGTGTTTGTTTGTATTTCCTCTTTGTTGATCTAATGAGGGCCACTCTGTAGTTTCGACAGGCCCAGCATGCATTAAAGACATTGTATTACTGACTCTGGCTCACCTGCTGAGGTTTACCCATCGGCATCATAAAGCATTGCACAACTCCCGTTCTCCATCTCAATGAGCCTTAAAAAGCATGAAAATGGGGGGCTGTTGGCTCCTTTTCACAACTGAAAAACACAGGCTTGCCCCATCGCCTACACCCTGGGTGGATATGAGCTGCTAATGACTGTTGTAAAGTCCAGGGGGATTGGGGAGGAGGAGGGGGAGGTCATCCTTCTGGAACAATTCTGGCGTGGTGTTGATTTTATTCGGTGCGATTCATTATCTTGGAGGCTTCTTGAACCAGTACGTCCACCCCCAGACTTCCTCAGCTGTATGTTTCACGCACTTCATTTACTCATTTTAATGAGGATAAGAAAAGAGAGATCTTAACAGGAATCTGCACCACAGGGTGAGAAGGTCAATGTGATGAAGTTCAAATTCTGGGATATTATGAGATTATACCTCCCAAATGCCATCTTTTTGATTAAACCCAGTAAAGATGAAATCATATTGGAAGGAATAAGGACAAGAAAATCCTGACTAAGACATAAAAGAGCTTCAGGATATTGTTTGAGATGATACATGATATTACATCCTTTGCACATAATCTGTATTTATAGACATACAGACAAAGCTTAAAGCGAGTGTCGTCACAGGAATATTTAGGTGATAAAGTTTTTGGTAGAATTTTACAACACAATACTGTCACTGTACCTAATGTAATGTCTTAATGGGACGGTATAGTTGAAAATATACCTTGGACCCCTCTTTCTCAGATCAAAAAGAAATCTGTTATCACACTTTGATATGATTATGTTTTCCAGACAATTTAGAGATTATCTCTGAAAATTGTGCTTTAATTCACAACCATTGTATTAATGTCAATTATTTAGCTCCTTTGGTCTGTATTGTGTTTGTAATATTGTGCTTGTCTTTTGTGTGTGTTTGTGTTGTGTTCCCTGATCATCTGAAGTTGCATATAGTTAAATGCATTGTAAATTGTTTAATTAAAAAAGGCTGGGGGTAAAAGCTGCAGAAACGTCTGAGGTAGAATTGTGTTTTGAGGATGCAAACTTATTCTTTCAGAGGGAATTTGTCATAGCTTGGTCCCAGTCCTCTGAATGGCTGTCCACATCTCAGATCTGTTTAGAAAGTCAAATATGAATGAATTGGTTAGTCTGATCATCAGGCTAAATTTATTTGGTAAACTACAGATTTTTTTTTTCTCCAGATAGACAAGAATACAGTATTCAGCAAACTGTCAGAAGCTGTGAGTGTATCGCTTTGCATTTGTAACAAATTTGGGGGTTAGAAAGAATTGTGGGAGGCCAACATGTTAGATAGACCTCCAGATCACGTCATGCTGATGCTATTTAATCATCTGCATCACAGCAAAATGGTATATACTGCACGATCTATTATGTTTACTATAGAGTAATAATACATTTTATTTAATTGCGCCTTTCATGGCACTCAAGGTCTCCTTACATCATATAAGAGCAGTAATTAAAACATACAGTAAAGTAAGAATTTCAAAGTTTGGGTGCAGGATAGGAGAAGGCCCCAGCAGCCATTGTGCTGTGGTTGATGGCTGGTAGCGCCAGTAGACCTGCTGTAGAAGACCGCAGGGAGCAAGATGGAGTGTAAGTCTGAAGGAGGTCTGTGTGATAAGCAGGGGATAGATTGTGGAGAGCTTTGAATGTTAATAACAAGATTTTAAAGTTAATCCGCTGTGACAGTGTAATTGATGAGCCGTCCTGTTCTGGATGAGGTGAAGTTTGTGAATAAGTTTAGCGGGGATGCCTGCCAGGATCGCATTGCATTAGTCAATGAGTAAATACATACTGATGCCATGCGTGCTGCGCTCTCTGTACAGGTCATGGTGGTTAGGGCCTTTAGTGAATGCCTCAGAACGTGTTGTAATTTAAAGACAAAGCCACTGTTTGTCAGAGTCCCTCAGTGCAGCAGCCAGTCGGCTCCATAGATGTCCAGGAGGAATATTGTCGGCCACACAGTGAAAAGCACCAGATCTGAGGACCTCCTCCTCTCCAACACAGCAGGAGAAAAAAGAATGAAAGTGAGCACTTAGTAAAATTCCCTTGACACACACACACCCACAAATCCACTGGGTTTAATCTGCATAGCTCCACATCAATGAGTAATTTGGGCCTTTTAATTGCTGTGATAATGGTCCAGCAAAGAGCACCATATCGACCTGCACTCAGATGCCTGTAACGGCCGCTGACGTGTTTAAGGGCATGACATAGGCTATGTCTTAAGTATCCCCCAGGTGGTACTATAGCTTTAGAATGAAAAGACCCGACGCATAAATGCAGCAGATTGTTGATCCTGGTTGTCCGATGATGGTGTCAGCAGATCCCACCAGACAATTGGCACAATAGTGTGAAACAAGGGGGGCGGAGGGGGGGACACTCACTTAGGGCTGGCGGGGGGTAACAGATGTAGATGAAACAGCCTCAGAGAGGAAAGCAGCAGTCAGCCTTCATAAAGCTGATGGAGTGTAGGGCCAAATGGAGAGGAACTAGTAGAGACTGGGTGGAATAAAGGGCCAAGGCAGCACCCACCACTGCTGAAGTTCAAACAAGGACGACATTTATCAGTGGAGATTGTCTATTACATTTATGAAAATGTGTTGAAATACACAAGACTGAAGACCCAAGGTTTAAACCCAAAACTATGGCATTCGCAAGGATTTTAGGGATAATGAGGTCATGAGCCGACACACCCACCTTGTACTTTTTGTATTTATTTAGTTAGCTGACTATTATTTAAATGGAGCAGTTCTTTCAAGGAAATTCTCTGAACTTTGTTTCTAATTCCCCTTTAATTGGCACTAGATTAAGGGTTTTTATTATTATGTAGGTTTATTAGGAAGTTACACACCTGTAAAATTAAGAACTTTCACTTAATTTCCCAACACAGAGCCTGAATAGTGTTTCACAGGTAACTTTACGTTGCCAAGAATACATTTGTAATGAAGAAATATGAATCTGTGGATTGTTATGTTGAACTTTAAGTAGCCAAATTTAAATATACCAGAATCAGCCTAAATAATACACACCACTTGCTACTTTTTAGTTTAGTTATAACTCCCCCAAGGTTGCTAAAACCCCTCAAACTCCCAGAGAAAATATGGAGGACACGACCTTGGTGTCCTCAATGGCAGCCGCTGACCCTCAGCTAATGTGCACATCCGACAAAAGTGATATATTACAATTTTTATTAAATTTCAAAACTAATCTCATGAGTAGGATACCAAGTTTGCATATCTTGTGTGACAGTGTGTTCTAGTGCACAGCATTTTTTTTCTTAGGACATAACGCTCATTATATAAAAGAGAAAGGTACATTTTAAACTACACTGGAGTTTTCCAACAATAGAGACATATACACAGTGTAGCAGGTGTCATTAATCTTCTTAAATGCCAATATTAAACAGCCTAACAATGAACTGAGGCAACAAGCAGAAGCATGGAGCAAAGTGAAAGGAAATATTCTAAAACCTTCTTCATTGTGCTCTTTGGATTGAGTCATGGAATAGCATATACAGTATGAAAGATCAATGAAAGGACAAATATCAAGACAGAAATAATTTACAGACGTGGCAATATGTTGTGAGCTGAGGTCACCGACCTGGAGCACAGGCGCTTCATCATTCGGGTGCAAACACAACTCGGTTCAACAACGTTTTTCAAAACCAATCATGATATTAGAGGCACAATACCTAAGTCTCATCTCCATCCACAGAATGCACCGAAACATAGAAATACATTTCACAAAACAAGTTCAGGAAAAGGCACAATGTTAAATTAGAACAACTTCATGATTACTCAGTAGTTTGGATATGAACACAACGCCATAACCATAGCTGCTAGGGTGAAGAACGAAATTATTTCCTTAAATATCCTTAAAAGAACAAATCTTGGCAGCTAGGAAAAGTCCGTATTACCATTCAAGGTGGGTTAACTAACTAAGGAAGCCTTCTCTCACGACCCTGTCCTGAATGCTGTGTTATTGGGTTTTGATTCTAAGGTTTTGGTTTTGTATCTGCATGTTAGTCCTGTCACCTGTTCCGTTTAGTTCTCCGAGTTTATTTCATTAATCAGCTCGGTATCTGTTATATAGTCTGTGGTCTTGTATCCTTCGTGGTCTGTGTTGTTCTGTTATCTTGCCTCCCTTAGCCGCCCTGTCTTATTAGTTAGAATCCCTTTTGCTGTGCTGTTAGTTCAGACTTAGTTTTTAGTTTGCTTGCTACCTTTAGTGCGTCCTCTACCTGATGTTATTGTTTATCTGGTTATTATCCGTCAGCTCATGTATTAGTTTCTGTACCACAATGCTTGAGTTCTGTCTTTTTGCTAGGTGTCTATTTATGTTCTCTCCAGTTTCATTAATTAATCTGATTTTGATCCTTCTGCTTTAGTCTCTGTGTAGACTTTATTATTATTGTTATTCATCCTCATCTTTAAGTTACTTAGTATCTGTCTTGTCTCGTATCTTAGTTCCTTGTTCGGTGTCTTAGTTCTTAGTCCTGTACCATTAGTTCATGTCTTATGGGTTTACTCCTGGTCTGTGTACTTCTGTGTTGTTTTGCTCTTAGTTCAGGTCAACCCTAATCCTGTGTGGTTTTTGGATTATACTCGTTTTTAGATTTTCTGTTGGATCACCGTGTTTGCTTGGACTACTATTATTTGGATTATGGACTCAGCCACTCAGTTTTAAGTGTGCTCACCTTTTGTTTGCTTAATAAATTTCTGAACTGCACCAGTCAGACTTAGGGTTCTGCATTTGGGTCCACCAACCTTCTCCACCACCTTCCTACACCACAAATCCTGACACCTTCTTAAAATGATGAGGCAAAACTTCTTAAGTACCTTCAACCAAGTCCAGTTTAACCCACGTCAGATAAATATGACCCGGATGACTCAGAATCTTCACAGAGATCCATATTACCATGCATTGCATACCCAGTAGTCGTCACTGCTTTCTTTCACTTGAGGATATAGAGGTTCTCTCTGTGTAACAATGGAGAGGCAGCTACAGTTACAAGAAATACTGAGGGATCAGGGACAGTAGCATTAGCATTTCAGGAGGCAGACACGATTATTATAAGATATCTGAAGAGGAACAAAAAGTGTGCAAAGGTCCTGAACCTGACACTTTGGTTCAGAGGCACTCAAACTGGTCAATTTGCAAGAAGGACAAGATGCTGCCAGAAGCATTGCCCCCCAAAATATCCTCATGGTACTTAAAGTTCAACATGCTGTGTAAGAAAAGTGCATGGCAGTCTCCAGTGCTCACATCCAGTTCAACACAGCTGCTTCAATCCTCACTGGAGTCCTCTGAGTTGTCCATGTCCACATCCTCCCATGAAGCCTTGGTGTGCTGCTCCAAGCTCTTGGCATGGGCGATCACAGCAGGAGGCATGGGCACCACGCAGGCCGCCAGGCCAGAGACACGCTCCTTAAACCGTGTCTCATTCTCCCACTCGTCTGTGTCGGTGTTGTACACGTGAACGTACTTCATCCTTTTGCCTTTGTCGTGAGAGCGTCCTCCCAGGATGTAGATGCGATTGTCCAGCACTGCTACGCCGGGTTCTCCATGTCCAGCAGGGAGGGGGGTCATTAAAGACCAAGAGTTGGCTTCAGGGTCAAAGCATCCCACCTGAAAAAAGGGGACATTTTTCATAAAAGTACTGTCCAAACAGTCAAAAAGCCACTACTCTGGCTTGTAATTAAATCAATAAGTCAAAATCACTTGCTTTTTCAGGCCTTCATCAGAATGTAAAAAAGTGTTGGGCTTATTAGACTATAGAATATTTTCTAATTTAAAACACAGAGAGGATGCTATAATGCATGACCATCTGTGTGTGTAAAGAAATGGAAAAAACATGACAAAAGCAAGAAAAATACATCAGATATCATCTTGAACTGTGTGAAAGACTGCAAGGCCACAGTTTACCAGAGTAGACACTGCCTTCATTGTGCAACAGTAAACACCACTGATGACTTGTGACACTGTACCTTCAGGACATCCCGACGATATCCACGCTCATCATTGCTTCCACCGACAACATAGACACGTCCATTAACAGCCGCCATGCCGTGCCACGCCCGCTCCACTGGCCCCTCGGCACATGCTGTCCAGTCATTGGCCACAGGGTCAAAACAGTATGTCTCTTTGAGGTATGCCATTCCTCTGCGCCCACATGTTATATAAATTTTCCCATCTAACACTGCTCCTGCATGGGCGTAAACCTGGAGGGAAGGTTAGACTAGTATTAAAGGAAAATCAAGGGAATACCTGGTAAATAACGGGAAAGCCCCATTAACACATGTGAGTATGTAGCACCATCATGTGGATAACAGCAGTATTACATGCATTTTTATTCATCTTTCCAATCTTTATTCTCACACCTCTCTCTTTAGGGGTGATACAAATTCCCACATGTTGGTGTGTGGGTCATAGCGCTCCACTGACTCCAGTTCATTGCAGTAGTCACGCCCTCCAATGGCATAAATATGGCCACCCAGCACACAAACACAATGGTCAGCATGCTGCTGCTGCAGAGGCTGGATGGAGCACCAGCTGTTGTGACGAGGGTCATATCTAGGAAAAGTATTAAAAACAGTGAAGAAAAGAAACTTTCTAAATCCAATCAGATCTGTAAAACAGTCCCAACGTATAAGAGCTGCCACTGAAATAATTAGTCTATTAAGCAATTAGTTGTTAGAAAATGTTGATAATTGATTTAATAATTTATCACGTTAAAATGCCACACACTCACTGCTTCCAGCTTCTCAAATGTGAGGATTTGCTGCTTGTCTCTTTTTAATTTCTTAGAATTTTATCTGAGAAAATCTTCCATAATATTTTTTTGACATTTTATTTACTAGCCCCAATCAATAAAACAGGTGGGCTTATATATCAGCCAGTATTAGCTTATTGCAAATACATCTGTATCAGCAAATATGTCAACCAATATGTAACAAGTGACAAGCATTGGAGAAGGAATGAAGGTATGTCTGAAATAGGTTAGATGTGCAGTGATACCATTACACAGTTTGTCCACCAGAGACCACTGGCTTATTTTTCAGCCATTAAACGTTCTGCTCACTACATGTTTTAGTCACATTCGTTCAAATGAAAGAAACAAACTTAAAAGCATCCTTGAAACGAATATTGGCTGAAATGTCCATCAACAGACCAAATATATTTAGTTCACTATCATGTAATCTACTCCTAACATTTGTTTTCTGCATTTTTCTTTGACTCCTATGATTTATTCTATTATCAAAAAAGTTGCAGATTAATTTTCTGTCAACCAACTTGTATGTATTCAGCTGTAAAACAAGTGAGTTGCAGTGCTAAACAGAATACAGTTTAAAAGTTCATATCTGCACTTTTAAAGCTGGGGTAGGCAACGTTGGAAAACTAGCAAGAGACAGATTTTGAAAGTGTCCAACTGTAAGAATCCCACCCCCTCCTTTCAGGCCTCCCTCTAAAGCCACTCCCCCAAAACACATTTCCATCTGCAGTGAGTGCACAGGCAGAGTGCACACAGGTAGGCAGGTTGGCCAGCCAATCACTTCATTCAGGATAAATGGGATCTCACCTCCAGCAGCGGGTCTCTGCACGAAATCCACTGGTGTTCTTGTCTCCTCCAATGAGATAAACAAAGTTGTTGAGCACAGCGACGCCCTGGTTGGACATTCGGGGTGCGTGAGCTGCAGTGAGAGTCTTCCACATCCCCCAGCTCGGGTGGAACACCTGAAACAAATGCTCTCTGTCTGTGAGGGAGCTGGAGGTGAACATCCCCCCGAAGCCCAATATACATTGGAAGGTGGACCGTGGCTGGGTGAGAGGACTCTGCAGGACGGGCTGCCAGATCTCCTGCTCATGGTAGCGCAGGGCGGCTGACACAGAATCCTTCAGTGGACACTGGTTTAGTCTGCCATACAGCCTCTGCAACACTTGTTTCTCAATAAGGCAGAAACGAACAGCATCGAGCATCTTGAGATTCTCCTTTGGGTCAGAAAGATAAAAAAAAAAAACTGATCGCCATTTCAGGCAGATAAAGCTACGACAAAGTGTGAGTAAAACTAAGCAGGTATAGAATCAATAACAGCGATTCCTTTCTTGGTCAGTATATAGTGTGTATCTGAAGAGGTGAGTACAAAATAAAGACGCACCTTCTGACTGACCTGCAAGTACACCTGGTCAGTTTCCACCTGCACAGGACTGTAGTGGTAGTGAAGAGCTGCCTCGTACACCTCATTTTCACTGTTCACCTGAAGCTCATCACTGCTCAGCGCTCTGAAGACTTCATCTTGAGGGAGCTGTCGGTACACGTCGGTTCGAGACAAAGTCTGGATGTTCCTGAGGATGTAGGAGTGGACCCTGGCATTAAGTTGTTGCAATCCGTAGAGATCAGCTAGATTATACACCTCTAAAATGTTGCTCTCATCCAGCCAGGAGAAAAGGAAATCACAGCAAAAGCCGATGACAATCTCAAGCTTTAAAAAACACAAAAGGACACCGATTAGCAGAAAATAAAAACACAGCTATGAATGTTGTTATCTAGTGCAAGAACAGCAAAGCGCTTACCTGTACTAGCGTGGCAGCAATCAGGACTTCCTGCACACACTCCAGGTCTAACTCAATCTCTGAAGTGTAGATGTAGTCAAGTATTTTTTTCATGGCCATGTAAGATACTCCATGAATTGGGATCTCTTTTTGCTGTGTCTCCCGAAGGCCTCCAGCAAACATTCCCCTAGTGGAATACAGTGCCGCATTGTTAAATGGGGTAACCTTGTGGCGCAGTGACGATAACATGGATACCACCTAGCCACAATCACTTTTGCTGCACGATATCTACCGCTCTTTCTCTGCAGATCATTTTCTACAATGAACTGTTCAATAAAGACACAATTCCGAAAGAAAAAGTTTAGGTTAAGCCAAGTAGCCACCTGAAAAGTGAGAAATTCGAAAAATAATCTGGTGACCTGGTACAGCCAGAACAGTCTAGAGCTCAATGCTCTGAAGATAGCAGTGGACTTCAGAAAGAGCATCATCCTGTCCCCAGTCACCACTGTGGACTCCTTCTGCTTCCTGGGCACCATCATCTCCCAGGACCTCAAGTGGGAGCTGAACATCACCTCCATCACCAACGAGGCCCAGCAGAGGATGTACTTCCTGTGGCAGCTGAGGAAGTTCATGATGGTGCACTTCTACACCGCCATCATTAAGTCCATCTTCACCTCCTCCATCACCATCTGGTACGCTGCTGCCACTGCCAGGGACTAAGGGCAGGCTGCAGCGTATCACTCACACTGCAGAGAAGGTGTGAGGCTGCAATCTTCCATCACTTCAGGATCTGTACGCCTCCAGGACTCTGAGGCCTGCAGGAAAGATTGTGGCCGACCCCTCTCATCCTGTTTGGGACGCTCCCCTCCAGCTGGAGGCTGCAGTCCATCAAGGTCAACGTTGCCTCTCGCCACAAAAACGGCTTCTTTCCACTGACACTCCAACTCCCCCCCCGGTTCTGGGGCTGCTGACTGCTTCATATGATTTCAACCAAATGTTTGTTGAATCTACTGAACCTCAGTTGTCATTCCCTTCAACCGCTAATACAAATCAAACCCAGCAGTATGCATTATAAGCTTATCTGTAAAGGGACGTTGGTGCCTTATCTTTAACCTACTTTTAGCATTATAATGGGATTACAGGGCTACCTACCAACACTAGGGCTCCTGCACAGTAAGTTACAAACCAATGTAAAGTACAATACTCCTGTATTGTTTGACTTTACATTCAATACACCTATCTTTCTCAATCATCTGTCTGCTGGCTAAGTGTGGACATCTTAGACTGTATCTGTGACTTACTTTATTTTGTCCATGAAAACAGTTTAATTTAGGTCATGATGTAAGCAGACAAGTAAACACAAACCACAAAGGGTTAGGGTTAATGTGCACAGCAAGCACCGCAGGCCACTGCTGATCATATGACAGTGTTGATAAAATGCAAGGGATGGTGTACGAGACGAGAAACTTTGTTTAAACTGGACTCTGCACCAAGACCCGGATGTGTCTTGTGAGACACTGCGTCTACAAACACCTGCACTGACTGATGTGCTAATGTGTACGTAAATGGTGACAGACAGGAATAAAATAAAGTTGGCGTCTGCGCCGGTGGAAAGAGAAAGAGCGAGCCTTGCATCTTGTTGATGCTGACACACAAGTAAAGAAACAAAAGGGGAAACTACTGTGAAAATAGAAAATGAAAGTATAGCAACAAAAAGACCTGTTGTTGAGTTTTACCTAAAATAATCGCAAGAGGCTGCCAGAAGTATACGATGGGCTTGGATGGGTCGACCCTCCACCAGCAGCACTACATCAAACAGGATGCCACTTTGTCTGAGAGACAGCAGGCCGTCCAGCAGGCTTCGGAAATGGGCTGAACTTCTGTAGGTCTGTCGGCCCTGGCGGCCCGCTGTGCCAGCGCGTCCTCCCACTGGACTCAGCTCTCCATTCTCAGCCATGGCAGCGCACAAGGGCTTCATCGCGTTCATCTGACGACTGCTAATATCATTCTCTGCGCATATTTCTTATAAGTTAATGTCGATACGTAGAGAAACATACAGGAAGAGGGGGGAGAAGCTGGGAAGCTAGTGGCTAAAGAAGGGTGCTCAAGGTTGCTTGAAATTCACTGCATAGTCTCTGTAACGTTGCAGATATTTAATAAGTTATAATACACACGATTCACACAATAGCTTAATAGCTACAAAAAAAGACGTATACGCCCTACCATCGACCTACTTCTAGTTGCCACTGCGTCGCTCACCTGTCAGGTAATGTTAAGTTAGTTTTAACGGTAACAGCAGCTAGCAAGCTATCAGCTTGTTAGCTCGCTAGCTGGTGAAACGCACTCACAAAAACACCAAGCTGGACAATTTAAAAACGGAAACAACGCCACTGTGCGAAAATATCTTCGTGTTCGTCAAAAACAAACGGTTTTATATTGGTTGTTTCTGTCGCAATGACACCATATCCTTTGTGGAGTGACTAGCTAGCACAGTCGCCTGATTTCTTGACAGATCAAAACAAGTCTGTTTACCTTTTGGTGTCAGGCGGTGAGCTCAAACGCTATTGGTCGTTGCTGTCGTTTTGTCCCGCCTACTTTGTAAGAAAGAGCCAATCAGAGACGTCTATCACACTGCAAGCAATTAATGAGACAGTTTCAGTTTAAAATAACATGTTTTTAGTGTGTAGATTTTGCCATTATATTATTTTTATCCCTTGTTCGGTTTTATAGTATTAATATTGATAAAATAAGTGTTTCAAAGGTCATTTCCAATGGGTCTATGTGTGTCTGCTGTCACATTGCAGGCCTTAAAAATATCAGGTTGAAAGTTGTCCCAAGTACATTAACCATGTTTGTTTGTCCCTCCAATATTTGGTCCCAATCTGATCAAACGGTTTCCAGATTGATTTTCCACAGTTTGATAGCCGCATGAGCTGGCAGATAGATTTCCCAAGGCAGCCCAGTCATGGTGATGTTTTTATAAAATTGAGGCTTCCATATTGCCTAGCGTTCACAATCTCATTCATCTTCTGCCCATTCATCTTTCTATTTGCATATATCATTTCCTGACACGAAGAGTAGAGATTTTTCCACTCGCAAAAACGCTGGTGGAATAATCCATCACTTGATTTATTTTCCAGTCTAATATACATTACAGTGGGGTGCACATGGAGAGTTAAAGTGGGGAAAGCTCTCCTATCATTTTGTCTTGGGGGCAGAAACGCCCTTTTCAAACAGAAACTCATAAATCCCCAACCCCCAAAACATATTGACTGTATCTGTCACGTGGCTGAAGAAATGCACTACCATAGTTCCTGCCAGTAATCTTATTGCAGCTCCCTGAACAGCAAACATGCACACCACTGATACACTGCATACATATGTGTCACTACACCAAAGCCTGCTGTTACCATATCAAACCACATATAAGTCTTTTGCAACTAGACCTCAAACAATTACTCAATTAAATGATTGGCAAAAACAAAAATCTAACCTAAACTATTTCGATGACCAGTTAATTGTTTTTAAGCCCACATTCGAGACATTGCCTGCCTGACATTTCCTTTGTCTTATATCACTGAAAATCTCTAGGTTTTGGAGAGCTGGTTGAACAAAATAACTGATTTAATGACATAACTTTTTTTGCGATTATCCATCTACTGATAGGAATACTACATCATAAGCCTGATATATCAAATACATCAGTCACTGGCAATAAATGTTATGCTGAAAGTTGATATTATCTTTTCATTTCTTCTTTATTTGCCCGTTGTTTGATTTCATGTTGCTAATGGTACCCATATGTATTACTGGTTTACAAGAAAGATATATCTTGATTACTGACTTTAATTTTTTCTAATTATGCTGCTACTGTAATCTTCTAAGCAGTGAAAATCACACATAGTTACAAACTCAACATTTTAATTGTTCAACCTGAATATAAACTAATTTTCACACATTCCTTGCTGATTAGGGGGATAAATTCACAGGTACATGATAAGTAATAAAGCTTGTTAGTGCTCTTGTTGTGACGTCGGTCATTGTCAAAGATCGAAAGCGTGGTTTTCATTTTTGTTGGACCTTCCTGGAGGTCACAGAGAGACTGGTTTTGCCATTATTGAGAGTACAGCATTCCTGTACATTAGTAGAGGGCCGTCTCCTCTCATCAGGAAAAGGCTGTGGAGCAGGCGCCACAGGCAGGAGGAAGAAATGACAAAGAAATGAAAACAAAGCAGGCTGCATTTACAGAATTAACTGTCAATCTGTACTACAAAAAGACTTTATAAAAGGATGTTGGCTACAGCACTAAGCAAAACATGACGGTCTTTGACCTTGAGCTTTTATGAGCATCTCTTTTACACAAATCCTGCAACTGTTAAGACATTAAACCTTCATTCAAAGACCATCTGATGGTGCCATTAGTGGCCATCGTATGATGAGGAGAGTTGTAGAGTCGCAAGGAGAGGCATGTGTGGTATGGGAACAATGGGCTCTAACAAGGAATAGTGCAGTGCAGTGCAGTGGGCTGCTGGGAAAAAGCGAATGCACTTTCCACAGGCAGACCAGAGGACAATACAACTGATTAGTTTGGGACAGCAGAGCTCCAGTGGTGCCATTCATTCTGCCTGCACGCCATCTAAGATGGTTTCCATGCCAACTACCTGCCATCTTTACTGGCAGAGGAGATTTGACTGGCAAAATATGGCACAGAAAATTTTACTCAATGTTACTTTACTTGAATTTAGATGCTTGACTTATAAGAGCTGCCATTTTAATGAACAGCCTTTTAGTGTTGGGGGTGATGGTGCAGTGGAAAAGATATATGCCTTTTGTGTTGGAGACCGGGGTTCAAATCCCACTCTGACACATCCACCAATGTGTCCCTGTCAAGACTCCTAGTTGCTTCAGAGCCGTGCAACCTTGGAAATATATAGCAATTGTAAGTCGCTTTGGAGAAAAGCATCAGCTACATGTAACGTTCCCTTCGATTAATTTGTACATTTTACTGTAGAGGCAGGAGTGAGGCAGGAGTATAAAGATTGCCTGTCAAAATTGAAAAGTGGACAGTTTATAAAGGAATGGGAGCAGTGTGAAATGGACTGTGTCTACTGTATTTCACACACTCCCTGCTCTGTGATTGAAAGTGACTGAGGTGTGGCCCTGGCAGGTGCAATTTTGCTGGGGTTGCTCTGTGATTGTGAAGCGATCAATCAGTTATTCTCTGCACCAAAATCCTGTAGCACAACAACTTTCAGGATTGCTCTTTGATGAAGCCCGCCAACCGTCTTACTATGGCAAGCATGGAGTGATACATAACTCTCCTCAAATGATAAACAGTGGGGGGTCATTTACACAACAACAGGATTTGGACAGAACTGCCTCAAGATATCTTGTAATTATGAATCATTTTAGTCTGTATTCAGGATAAATAATCACATGGGAAAATACTTTACTATGCTATTGTTTTGACTGTAATGACAATTTCCAAGTCAGCTAAATTGGTGGCTCTTTCTTCCTTGGGTTTGTCTCTCTCTGAGGTCAGAGTCATTGGTCCTGGAGAAGGCTGGAAGTTGTCCCTGCCTCACCTGGAACTTAGAGAAAACAAACCAACGTTGCTGAAATATTTAAGTTACCTAACAGTGTGTGCCACTCTACAGGATGCAAGGAGGGTCAGGTGGTGTTGATACAAAGATAAAAATCACCCAATTTTAATACACATGCATATCCATCACTGCTCATTTAAAGATTATAAAAGGCTGGGCAACAACTTTATCACTTTTTGTAGAAAAAGACACATGGTGGAGCATCACTTATTCTTCTCACATGTCCCACACGTGGCAGGAAAATTTCCCAGTGTGAATTATAATACCAGACAGCAAGCAGAGACTTGTTAGCAAGGGCTGGACTGTGCTGCTGTGACAGCTCTCAAAGGAGAGGTTTGGTCTGCATCATGTACAGTTTGCCCACACCACTAATGGAATATATCAGAGGTAACAGAAATAGCTTCATGTTTCTGGTTTTACACTGGCACCAAATGATTCATTTACATTATGCTCTTCAACGTTTGCATTTTCTGTGAGATTTCATAAGCGTTTTGGAAATGTAGCCATGTACAGTAACCCTGGTAACTGTCAACCTCTCCAATACTTGCAATGAGGCCAACTAGACTGATGGTGGATCGAATTTTAATTGGGATAAAGCTAAACTGTGGCCAAGAACCTGGCTGGTCATATCTGCCATGTGTCAGTGGATCTAGACTCACATTGAACAAGGCTCCTTGGGATCAATAGCAACTTGCTGTCCTCCCTCTATCACGTTATGCTGCCTCTGAATTCAGTTTTCACCTCTTGCTGTTGGGATGAGGGCTATTTTGGGGGGTGTGACAGGCACCGTCTTATTCTCTGTGACAACGGTAGTGTAAATTCTGAATCATATGCCGACACTGAGGAACAGTGAGGGAAAAGTTAGGGCTGTAAGAAGAATGGTCTTTGCTGCACACAGATGCAACTGGAGCTGAATAGAATAGAAGTGTGGGTTTAGAGAGCAGGATGGACACACAGAACATTTATATGAATTAAAGAGGAGGGTCAGCAGGTCTAATGCACACTGGATTGATTCTACCTTTTGGGTCTGCTAATTCAGTTGTGTTTTAATAAACTCCAATCTCAGACTCCTCTCTAGTCTATTTCTCCCTCTTCTCTCTGTCTCCTCTCATTGCTCTTTTCTATTTCTTTCCAGCAAATCAGTTTATTCCACTAGACTTAATGTAACTCTTGAAGTAACATGACCAAAATTTAAATCAGTTTATTTTTAGCTGCATTTTATTTTATACTTGGCAGACTCAATGGCCTGAAACTAGAACATTACATTTCCATTTTGGTAGTGACTTGGAAACATATTAGGAATGAATGTGGGTTTAAAGGAATAGTTTGACATTTTGGGAAATTCACATGATGTTGAACTATTCCTATAACTATAACTATAAAGTACATAGGTGTTAAACCTGCAGTAATTGTTATTTTTGGAAACCTTGGAGGGCAGCAGAAACAAGCTGTAAATAACCCCTCGGCGCCTGAACTTATTTACAACAAAAAAATAATTCTGTTTTCATTTGCTTTCAAGCTGATGTTAAATTAAGTGGAAATTGTTAATTTGTCGAACATAGAAAATATATGAATACAGGTATGATGTAGGTATGATGCAAAACAAGAAACGAGTGCTTGCAAAAGTTTCCCAGGTACATATTGTATATTCACAAATACATTCGCTATCTCAGCTGCAGTCTGAAAGGAAGAGCTGTGATGCGAATTCACAACAATTGCCGTTAAGGGGATAAAATCCCGACAAAGGTTGTTTGCAGACAGTTAGCAAACAGTTGCATATTGAGCTACACATAGATATGGAGCAACAATTGCATTTATTTGAACTTGTGTGTACTACCTGTTGAACGTATATCCAATATTAATCTTATTTTTCCTCAATTGTTGGCCTCCACTAATTCCTGAGGTAAATATTTGGCTCTAGATGTGTCACTATGTTCACCCACA